TGGCTTTTCGTGTCTCCATGCGCATACCCTCAGCTGATGTAAACTCATTTTATTCCTAATCATTAATCTATCTCAGTTTTGGCCTGCAGATGATTCGTCTACCTTTTCATTTACGTTGTTAAATAATCTTTTCTCCTCCAAAATCTGGCATCCACTCGAGGTGTCCTGTCCGCTGTCATTTGGCGTTCTGTAAGTCCACATAAAGTCGTCTGGGGATATTGTGTTTTCAAGAAGAATCTAACATTGGTTCTATCCGTGGTCGATCTTTTTTTGTCAGAATCCATAATAGTTGTCACCTAGGATCTTTTCAATATACCTTTCTATTTTATTAGCTACTAGTTTAGTGAGGATTTTTTACGTTACATTAAAAGCTTGTATATTTCAATATGGCTTGAGCAGCCACTTTAGATCCTTTCTTGTATATTGGGATTATGAACTCAGTTCCAATCTTCCCTTTAAGCTGCACCGCGCAGCAGTTTTGAGTACCGAGCAGCAAATTTCCATGTAAGTGTGTGTTTGTGGGCTGTAAAATTTTGCACACAAAAAAAAATGATGCTGTAAAACTTTGCACACAACTGTATGATTTTGCACACGAACCAACAAACCTTAGAGGGAACATTGATCAGTACCCCATTGATTTTGGTATTTCTTCCTCTTGCCAGATTCTGGTTATGAGTTCATTTATACATGCCATTTTACCTAGTTTTATCAGTTCTGCATGGAAAAGGTATTTCCCAGCGGTTTTATCATCCTTCATGCAAATCAATATTTTGTCTCCTTTAGAGTCGGTTGGCTCACCATTCGTAATTCGTATTTCTCATTGGCTCCTCCATTTAAAAATGTAGCATCCCTTCAAAATGTTTAAACCTTAAACCAAATGCTCTATGTCCTATGTGATTAGTAGCCCATCTAAACTTTCACACTTAATATAGGATCTTCCATGACATCAGTTTTTTTCTTCTTTTTTTGTCTTTATGTACATTCCCATAAATCAGCTTTTTTGCCAGCAAATCTGAAATTCTAATACAGATTTTTTCCCACTAACTTTTTTCTTTCTAGAAATATCTTTTAACTTTCTATCTTATAATTTTAGTGTTGTTCTCGCTGCCCTTCGCCAAATCATCAACCCCACATTATCTTTACTTCTTAGCGAATTTCCCTCTGCGTCAAACCAGCTTGTATTTTATAAGTTTGTTTGAATCGTATTTTTTCTTCTGTTACAGTTTTTACACTTTGTTTTATTATTTTTCTTTGATCATTTATATCGGGTACCTAAAATATGTACAAATGCAATTTTTGTGAAGGAGAAAGTTTAGACGGTAATTTTCTCGAAATGAGATGTGGGGAAAAAATCAAAATAAACATAAAATGTATTATAAAACTTACATATCCCACATTTCTCACTCGCAACTCCCCTTAATAATATATATAAATAAATGAATCTCCTTTAAATAAATTTAACTTCGACCAAACTTCAGTGCAAACAAATGTCCATTTCAACAAATTTCTTTCGTAAAAATTTACGGATACATTTTTATTGTTTTTTTTTGTCATCTTTTTTCCTTTTTGTTGAGTGTAGTTTAACTTTCGTGCTGGATAAGTCGTTAGCCCTGAGCACAACCGCCTGGGAGGGGTGGATTTTTGCCCGTTACAGCTCTTTGAATAGCTGCAAATTTGCTTTGGACCAGGCACCCAGAATTTGTAAATCCCATTACTGACAGAAATGTGATTTTTTTTAAACAAGCAAAACTTACATTATTTTCAGTTTGAGATATTACAGAATATAAAATATATGTTGTTTTTTTTTTAAATAAAAAAAAAATTATCATAGAACTCTAAGATGTAAGCTATTTGAGAGGCTTAATAAGGGTAGTTATCAATTAATCATCACAAAGATGAAAATTGCATCTTTATATAAGTAATAACTTTCTTAATTATTTAAAAGCAATACAACAATACAATCTTCAACTTACATTAGGTCAACTACCTGACTCGGGTCGACACTTACAGTCCAAGAACAAACCTCTGTACTTTCTGTAGTAGGCGAATAATAAATTCCTGATGTAATTGTCCCAGTAGTGTTGGTCAGTATTTTCCCACAAGCTGAAGAATAATATTTAATACATATTAAAAATATATATCGATTTAGTGTCTTAATAGAGTCACAGCATAATTTCCGCACAATTTAAAAAAAAATGTTAATTACTGTCTTAAGACTGTGGATAAACTGTTGATGCATTTTGTGGATGGGAGTTAGAGACCAATCGAATTTCGGCTTCGGCTTCGGTTTTGGTGCCGAAAGTGGCCATCTTATCACTTTCGGCCAAGTTTCGGTTTCGGCCGAAACCGAAAAGTTAACTTTCGTTTTTTTCGGTTTCGGCCGAAATTGACTTAGACTTTCGGCCATCCTGCTGAAAGTGACTGAGGTTTTCGGTCATCTAATACTAAGCGAAAGCAATATTTAACAACAAACTAAGCGACATTTAAAAACAAACAATATGATCTTTAAGAACAAATAAAGCGATCTTTAAGAGCAAACTAAACGATCTTTAAAAACAAATAAAGCGATCTTTAAAACAAATTAAGTGATCTTTAAGAACAACCTAAGCGATCTTTAATAAAAAAAAACTAAACGATCTTAAAGAAAAAAAACTAAATGATTTTTAATAACGAACTAAATGATCTTTAAGAACAAAACAAATTATCTTTAATAGTAAACTAAATGATTTATAAGAATAAACTAAGCGATCTTTAACAGAAAACTAAATGTTCTTTAGGAACAAACAAAAAGATCTTTAAGAACAAACTAATCGATCTTAAGGAACAAAATCAATTATCTTTAAAAACTAACTAAGCGATCTTTATGAAAAAAAACTAAGCGATCTTCAACAAAAAATAAGCGATCTTTAAGAACAAATAAAACAATATATTTTTAATAACAAATTAAAGGATCTATAAAAACAAACGAAATGATCTTTAAGAACAAACGGAATGATCTTTAAGAACAACTAAGCGATATTTAAGAACAATATCAATGATCTTAAATAGCAAACTAAGTGACCTTTATGAGCAAATTAAACGATCTTTTAATAACACAAACAAAGCGATCTTTAAGAAAAAACTTAGTGATCTTTTTGAACAAACTAAATGATGTTTAAGAACAAACTAAAAGATCTTTAAACAAAAACCAAGCAATCTTTAAGAACAAACTAAGCCATCTTTATGAACAAACTAAATGATTTTTAACAACAAACTAAACGATCTTTATGAACAAACTAACCGATCTTTAAAAACAAATAAAGCGATCATTAACAAAAAACTGAACTATCTTTAACAACAAACTAAGCGATCTTTAAGAACAAACTAAACGATCTTTAACAACAAATTAAGTGACCTTTAAGAACAAATTAAGCGATCTTTAAGAATAAACTAAGCGATCTTTTAGAACAAACTAACCGATCTTTAACAACAAATTAAGTGACCTTTAAGAACAAATTAAGCGATCTTTAAGAATAAACTAAGCGATCTTTTAGAACAAACTAAGCGATCTTTATGAATAAACTCATAGATCTTTAAGAACAAACTAACCGATCATTAATAACAAACTAAACGATCTTTAAGAACAAACTAAATGATCTTTAAGAACAAACTTAATGATCTTTAAGAACAAACTAAGCGGTCTTTAAGAACAAACTAAACGATAAAAAGCTGTAAAATTAAAACTTTTATTCCGAGTTTAAAACGTTTCTTACCATTATAATAATCATACAAAAATATATAGAAACCTTTAAAAAAATCAGAGTTAGCCTAGCTAGTCGATGAGATTCGACTGAAACCGTTCGCGGAGAGTCACGTTATGGATATGAGAATGGAGAAAACGCGCTGGGGCATTTACACTAAACTTTTCTGTCATGTTGCGGGCCGCAAAACATCGTCTGGCGGGTTACAAATGGCTCGCGGGCCGCGAGTTTGAGACCCCTATATTAGATGTTTATTTATTAATATTCACGATTATCTCCTTATTTATGAAAAGAATGTAAATATTTATACTTTCTCTCATCATTTTCGATGTATGCAGAATGTATGCGGAAACGAATTTCAAAATATCTAAATATTTCATTTTCGGTTTCGGCTTCGGCTTCGGTTTTGACCGAAAGTCATTTTAACTTTCGGCTTTTTTCGGTTTTGGCCGAAAGTCATTTTTGAACTTTCGTTTTTTTCGGTTTCGGCCGAAATCAGAAAATCACTTTCGGTCTGTCTCTAATGGGAGTAAACAGGCTCGATGACCAAACTAATACATTTAAAGAAATCTGATAGGCCTACTTGTTACAGACATAGCCGTCGTGTGGGCCCTGCAACCCCTGGGTGAGCGAGCGGTCTAAACTGACTCAATCCCAAGCTAGACAAGCAAAAATACGACCAGCATCCCGGGTGGATGTGCCTCGTTAACCGCGGATGAAAACTTATATAAGTGAAGACAAGCTGTGAAATCAAAACCGGAGATGGAGTCCCATAGGTGGTATGACAGTGAGTATAATAACTAATCCGAAACTAATTTTAAAAGTGTTTAATGATTTTGTAAAATGACAAATATTGTAGCAGATGATCGTATTCTGATTAAAAAGTCTGGGATAAAACTGATTGTCAGCTTGGAAAATGACTATTGAGTTTCCAAATAAAGCTTGAAAATTAAACAAGTCTTACGGTAATCGACATTGAAACAAAAATGATGTCTATCATGTTACGATAGCACGAAAACATTGAAGCGGCCACCCAAAGTCGATTGGAACAGTGTAGATTATTCCCAATGTGACTGAGCTGATCAGCAGCCAGGATAATGATCCTCGCAGTCACAAGAGTCCAAGTGAAATAGAAAAAAACAACAACTGGCATATCACTGTGAACAGTGCAACTTCTTGAACAATATCGATTTTAAAGTGCATACTGGAAAGAGGAAGATAACTAAAATTTAGGAAATTTGAAAGAAATATAATAGTTACCTTCACATGTTTGTCTGTTTACATTTTCATAACCCACGTTACAGCGACATTCAAATGATCCCCAACTATTTAAGCAACTAGATATTGTTGTATTGCAGGCGTTTACAGTGCACTCATTAAAATCTTGGCTGCAATCTGTAGATGTCCAGTTTAAGTAGCAGGTACACAGACCATTCACGCGGTTCAGTACTTTGGTGTTGACTCTGTTGCAGGTACTCTCGTATTTGCAGTCCTGTCCATAAAACCAGTCTTGACAAGCTGTAAAATACCCCAGGTTAGTTGTTGTTTTTTTAAACTGACAATAATTCCTATTACGATATACATTGACAGAAAATAGCATTTTTGACATGCATTATATTTAGCAAAATGCAAATTATGGATTGGCCAAAAAATTGAAAGTTACATAAAGTTATTGGGCTTCCAACTCTATTCGTTTTTCTATGATCCCTAATTGACTAACACTCTAAAACTATAAGAAAATACAAGTATCTGTCGATGGTTTCTTGCGCTCTAAGCTGTAATGTCCATGTAAAAAAATTAAGCTATTTTGTCTTAATTTGTCATTAGGTGTATGTCCTTCAAACTTATTTATTGTGTGGCTATTTAATTAGAATGCTCCAAGAACGTTAATCATACTGAGTTTTAAATTACTTCTTCAACTGAACCGGTAAGATTATTGCCACTTTGTTGAGCGCTAAGAAGATTTAGAATGTTCAATATTGGAATCTTATTTTTTTTTCTTGTCCTTATTTGAATCCATCTGTGCTTTTTCTTAAGGATTCCTCGTCTGGAAGAACATCTACCTTAATGGCCTGACGAGTTGAAATTGACCCTACTTTTTTACCCATGGCTGTGGGCGTCTTCGTTGCAAGGTAGATAGCTTAACCAATGCTCAACACAATTTAAAATCTTAAATTTATTAAATTTGAACATTTTGGATGAGCATTGAGCATGTAGGCCGTGCGAAGGAGTTGGGGTAACGTGGGCACTTTCACCAGGCTTCAACATTGGGGAGGGGTGGGGCAAAATCTTCTAAAGAAAGGACCTTAATAGTGAATTTAACGATAAAAGGACACGTATTTAACCCAAAAAAAATGGCGCCAAAATCATCGTGTTACTGGTCCATCACAGGCATAACTATTTTCGACATATTGAAGGGTGAAATGTTCATGCTTCTTCCCGGGCGCCACTTTTCCTCGCCACAGTCGTCACAGCTCTCTTAACATGGCCTTTGGGTGGGTTTAGAAAATGATGTTGCATTCATATTTATTTTGAAGGGCACCTTTCACCTTTTTTTTATATTTGTGCCCTTGCAGTCAATGATTTTGTCTCAAATTTGTGTCACATAACAAATTTCCACCCTTTGAGACTCAGAGGATTCAGATTTCATTTTAAAAATTTAATTCTGTCATTGTTTACTTAAGAAATCTGGTTAAAAATTGTTATATCTTGTTGATTCTTTAAGAGCCTGAGGAACTAAATTGTACACATTCAAAATATTTTTTTCTAACATATAGAAATAGAAGTAGCTGCTAATAAACTGAGATAATAAGCTTAACAGACATTACCTAGTATATGAGAAATAAACAAAGATATCTTCTTTGCTCGAAATAGAAATCTAATTATCAATTAGAACTTCAGAGCTTGCTCGTATAGCTTGTGGCGTCACTAGGGGATGTGGACCACACCGGGTGATACCATCCCAGGGGGGGGGGTGAAAATGGAAATGTTACGAGTACGATTTAAGCGGTTTCATAAAGAAGTTAGTTAAATACAAAACAGAGTGCACTCAGACAGAGCAGGGTGTCAACAGAACGTGTTGCAAACAGAACAATGTGTCAACTGCACGGGATTCCTCCAGGACAGGGTGGCAATCCTCTCATTAAACCTATTATTATGTATCACAATCCGTGTGTCTGTGGCTTCAAGTGAGAGGGCTTTTCAAAACCAAAACTGTAACTTACATAAAGACATGTTTATCACAGGCCCTTTCGGGTAAATAAATGTTAACTGGTAGAATTACAGAAAAGTTTCAGAGTCCAAACCCGGGCAACAACGGCTATATTAGCTAATAAATAATTGCAATCTACCGGGTTGTCTGGTCTTGATATTTTGTCATTGGAAAGTAATACGATGAAGAATGTTCATTTTGATGAAGGTTTTGACATGTTTGTGATCTTTGAAGAACAGAAAAGTCAAGTTTTAACTATAACGTTCCACGTTTTACTAAAAGATAATTTTCTTGCACTTTTTTAAAAGCTGTCACGGGGACCTCAAATTCTGTTTTCCTCTTAAGGCCTATGTTGCTTTAGGGTTTTATTTACAAACAATACTGTAAGCGGTTCTGTTTGATCTAGTTAAAAATTACTCGGTGTAGGTCCGCAGGGTGGAGAAGGGGGGGGCAGCTCTAATTTATAACACCGGGTGACACTAGCCCTAGTGATGACTCTGCATACATATCGGTACTTCTAAAGAAGCGAAATAATTTTTTTTTAAACAGTTTAATAAATTATGGTCGTTTTAAGATTTCCGCTGAAGATAAGCTAAACCGATTCAAGCAATAACTGTCATAAAATGAGTAAAGTATTTATATGTAATGATTGGCCGTCTTGGTTGTGTTGGAATGTAAATAAACTACCAGGGTAGAAGGTTTCTTGGCGGATTTCCTCCATGTAACATCAGCCCAACAAAAGATATCAATGCCTGTCAACTCCAAGTCAAACGTCTTGTAGAACGTCAGAACCAAACAATGCGATGAAACCATTTGAAAGAACTTGGAAGTGAACAGGGCGTTTGTCCTCTTTTCTTTTCGTTCAGAAAAACAAAATTTATAAGAGGACAAACCTATTAAGAAAAGGTTGGTTCTCTATGCTGCCCTCTAGATTAATAATCTGTTTATAATTTTAAAACACTGGAAAAGTATCTTCCTGCTGTCAACTCGGGAAAAATGTGATGGAAGGAAAAGCAATTTAAAGAATACCTGAATTTCTTCCTGAATGCATAACTCATTCACTCGAAAGGGGCGCGAAAAGTATTAAAGGCATAGAAAATGTAGAGGTAATGTTAATAACGACTATTAAAAAAGGACAAAGAATTACGGAAAATTTTACTTGCATTAAACTACTGAACTACGTAAGTGTGATGTGCACGTAAGATAGTCTTTTAGACCGAGTATATAATTACTTGCACTAGTAATTACTCATTGCTGTGACAAATTCTTTATGAAGGTATCTTTTTTTTTTAATTTTGATGGTAATAATTTAAAATTGTATCATTATTCTTTAAAAAAGATTATTTTTCATGTTAAAATTTTAAAATAAAATAATGCAAATATATTATTATTTGAACTATCATAATAATAGTACATATGAACACAAACAAAATTGTAACTTAAATGGTATATTGTTGCATACTATATTTTGGAACATGATATCATCTTCATAAATTCAAATTTTCTTATAGCATTTGCCTATTTCCAAATAAATATATTTGATGGATCTTTCTTTGTAAACATTAAAAAGCACTATCAACTTACGGACACACAAATGGTTGTTTGTTGAATCTAATTGCATTCCTTTGGGACAATAGCACTTCTCGATGTTTGATGGTATCACACCGCAGGCATGGGAGCACTTGTTGGGTTGTGTTGTACAATTTGCTGTCAGAAAGTTTCATTATGAATTAAATGTTAAAATATTCAATAATCTTCTGAATGTGTCAAGTAATTCAGCTTTAAGGTCATAATGTTTGTTTGTTTTGACAAATTGCTGGGGAAAAAATTGAATTGATGGCAAGTGAGAAATATAAATACAGTAAGTGCCGAAAGTAGCAGGATTAAAAATAAAAGACGAGCAAAATTTCATTTTTGTCATTGTTCATTTATTTCTACTGAAAGAAACTAACAAACACATTATTAGTGTGCCGATTTAGCACGGTATGCGTAACGTAAATGTTGACAGTGTGCACCGCCTCGCTGTAGACAGTATTTATATCTCTCACGTTGATTTCCAAACATATCAATGAACAACGGTTGCTGCAGGCTCCTGCAAAAGGACTATTTACTCACGAAATGCAGTCAAATTTCTTTGCGAATCTTCACAGACGAACACACTATCCCACAAGTAGGCATCAGTTGGCGCAAGATCAGGGGAGTCAGACGGGTATTGGAAGTCAATACCATGTGTAATGTTTATCCAGGCAATAGAATCTCTAGTGGTATGGCTGGTCTCACCATCGTGCTCATACAATTGTCCATTCATGTGAAGGTTCTTTGCACGACAGAATCTTCTCAAGTCCTGAAGAAATGATCCGATCATCGTGACCTCGTAGCGTTCTTGGTTGATGAGAAGAGCTTTGTCTTATTGAAATAGGTGCCTAATATATATATATATATATATATATATATATATATATATATATATATATATATATATATATATATATTTATATATATATAAAAGAAAAAAAACGTAATTGACACCTCCTGGAAAACATGATGTCCGTAGCTATGCACCGTTGATAAACGAACGTACGAGTTCAAAAAGTGGCACTTTCCGTTCTGCTATTTTTGGCGCATATTGTATACAGCTTACTAAAAGAAATACGGCATTTGTAGTAAAGGGAAAAACTCCTTACTTTAATTTTTGTAAGACAAAATATTATTGTGTCATGATTGCTTACAGACACAATGTCCAGTTGAGTTGAGCTTCATCCCTGGTTCACAGTCACACGAGAAGTGCCCGGGTTTATTGTTGCAGTGAGCATATAAATCTGGGCAGATGTTGGGGTCATCGCATTCATTGACGTCCCCATCACACCTTGTAGACTTCCAACCCCGCTTGCAAACACACTGGCCAGAAGTCGTGTTACAATACAGTGTGTTCTCTTCTAGACACGAACAGTTCTTGAGACAGTAATCAATCCCGTAGGTAAATGGTGGACATTCTGGAATTAAAAAAAAAAAAAAATTGGTGTTAAAACTTTAGAAAATATTTTGCAAAGACGAATACTCTCAAAGTAGTTATTAAACGTTTTCATTCAAAATATTTCTCTTCAATAATGAGTAGTTCACTAAATGTTATTACTTTGTGCCCTTGTTAAGCGTTTAAAAATGTGTAATCTACCGAGTACAAATAAAAACATTAAATTTAAGAGATATGCGTTTAACTATCAGTCCTACCATGAGCCCAATAAGAAGCACTAAATCCTGGACCAGACGGTGGGTAGGAAGCAGTAAACCTAATATGTAAGCTATGGCCGGTTGAACGAATACGGAAATTGGACAGTTTTGAATCTCCCCAAAATCCAGTTTGATTTTCATTTCCATTGTTGAGGACTGGCTTCGTTACACTGTCTCCGTCATAAGAGATGACCGTATCATGGCCATCCACACGAAAGTCATGGAATCTAGAGATTTGCCGAAGAAAAATACAAGATTATACATTATTATGAATAAAAATCAAAATGCGTTTCAATGTTTAATTTTAAAATTACCTTTACATTTTTTAAATTATTTATATCTCATATGTGAATGTATGTGCGTGCGTGGGTGGGTGTCAGAGAGAGAGAGAGAGAGAGAGAGAGAGAGAGAGAGAGAGAGAGAGAGAGAGAGAGAGAGAGAGAGAGAGAGAGAGA